AAGTTGAAAGTTGCGGACAAGTTGCTGCGGACACATACACACACACACACACACAGACAACCCCGTAACAATATGCGTTTTGTACTGCTGTTACACAGCACAAACGCATAAAAAGTAGGGTGTATTAACAACGGACGAAAGAAAACGAAGAGTAAAAAGGTAGGAGATGAGAATTACAAAATTTGTAAATTATAAGAATTTAATGATAAGAAATTTTTAATTCACACCAGCAATAAGAAGCACATTTTTTTGCGTTTACAGGCGGGGTAAGTCATGCAGCCTTTCTGATAAAAAGTGGAAAGATTCCTGGCAATGACAGCATTAACGCTGCACTCATCAATTCGGAAAGTAAGAAATTTGGAAAGCCCTCACTATTCCACTTAGTCGGCAGTTGACTGAGAGGACAACCAGCAGATGAAGTAAATCGAATACCGTTTGCTGCACAAAAGGACGATTAAGAACAGATCTCTCATGTTTGCAAGCTACTCATGAAGATTACTGCTAACTGACTGACAAGGTGCGAAACAAGCAGGAAACCGAAGTACTTATAATAAAAGTATCACATTTTCATCCTAAAACAGCTGCTGGAACGAGCAAGAGAGCACCAACTCCTTCCTTGTCTCCTATTCGAAGATTACGAAAAAGCATTCGATCAAGTAGATCTGAATGAAGTGTAACAAACTCAGCAGAAAGGAGAATGAAACAATGCGGAAATTGTTAAGAAAGCGAACATAAGCTATCCGTCAAACATTTCACTTATTTCTTCAGCCCACATACCGATGAAAAGAGGCGTAAGGTACGAAGATTCCATACCTTCCAAATTCTTCAAGGCTTGTCATATGACGACATTTTGATATGGACGGAAATTCCGAATAGCTAAATCCCTTACACTTCGAGGATGAAAACATCTCTCACTGCTTTTGGCGCTCAAGAAAAGAATGAAATGCTAAAGGTGTTAAAGCACGAAAAAAGTGGGGTCAAAATTAACACATCGAAAAAAAAAGGTAGAAAGTAATCCACTGTCAGGCTGCATATCATTGACGAAAGCAGAAGAGTGGACGTTGGCTGTGACGGGGAGAGCAATGAAGCAAGGGATGCTTGGCTTGTTGAAGTACCCCAATAAAATCCTTAAGACAGAATCTATACACC